GCTGGATCTTGAAGGTCCAAACGGGGTGTCTGAGATAACATAAAATCACACAACCTACTGCAACTGGATCCTCACACCGTCAGGGAGGTTTGCAGAGCCTGAGGCCAGGTGAAGTTCTCATGGCTGCCTCCAGGGGTGGGCTCTTCCATGCAGCTCCTTTCTTGAGCACCTACTATGTGCCAGCTGCCCCGCTAGTGTCTTAGGTTAGCAGCCATGCCATTTTGTGTGGCCTGACAACTTAGTCCTCTTTTCAGATGCAGAATTGGAAACCCACCCAGGTTACCTCGAGTAGTGGCAGCACAGTGGTTGCACCCTCCGGCTTTGAAGTCAGACGGACCTGTCTTTGGATCTCAGCTACGGACTTTCCCTGCCTGAGTGTTTTTGGGCAAGTTACTTCAACTTCCTCCTCAATAACAGGAGAATAGGACTTCTCTCTGAAGGTCTGCGTGGAGATGGGATGAGCCATGTGCTGGAGCACCTAGCACAGGACACCCACGGAACTGAGACGAGAAGGAGCAGGATTTGAATCAGCCTAATTCTCACTTCTCTGGGGTCCCCCACACCTCCCGCTAAAGCACTCTCCTTCACCCACCGCAAACGCAAACGCTGCTTTCCTGCCCTTCCCTGCCAGACGCCAGCCCCTCCTCCTCCTCGCCACCACCCTCCTGCCAGGACACACAGGACGGCTGGGGGCCTCCCTGTCCGTCCATTTCATGGAGATGCCACTTTTGGGGTGCACTGGGCTGGGAACATTTTCTCCTGGTGTTGGGCACTGCCTGTCACCATGAGAACACAGCCAGGGCAAGATGTAAACACTCACGATTCTCTCCATATTTTCCACTATTTTGTCCTCCTGTCTTTAAAAGCTGCTGGCCCGCCCGCCTGAGGTCGACAATGAAGATGTGGCCACCCCATTCCTGTAAGCGGTTGGAGTGTATGGGCTGCACAACAGGCTCACAGAGGGGTGTCACCGGGCAACCTGCCGTGATGACACAGGACTCCCTGAGCCGTCCTGACGAATACGGAATGTGGTCACATCAAGCCCTTTCTGGCCCTTCCCCCATGGCTCCTAAGTTTGACCCACCCACCCTGGTGGGCTGGGTTGATTTTGGCCCTCTGAACCCCCTTCAGAGGCTGCACGTTCTGGGGGAACCCTCCCAGCCTACCCAGGAGAGCGTAGTGGGAGAGGGAGGTTTGGGGGTCAGACCTCCTGAGTTTGAACCCTACTTCTGCCACTCCCTAGCTGTGTGAACTTAGGAAAGTTGCTGAACTTCTCTGTGCTTATTTTCTTCTCTGTAACGTGGGGACACTAACAGTACTTACCAGGTGGCTGTGTGCATTGCATAAATGCATGGACACTGCAAAAAACACTACCTGGCTTGGACAGAGCACTGACTATTGAGTATTATAGTCAAGTGTGCAAGAAGCATGGCTTTACTGGGGTTCAAATCCCAGCCCCTCCACTAACCTCCTTTAACTCAGCTCCTTTAACCTCATGGGGGCTCAGAGGCCTCATCCAGGCTGCCCACCAGGAAGGGTGGTGACAGGGCTGGCCTCGTGGGTGTGCGACCTGTGTAGTCACATGAGGTCCTAAGCTAGAGGGACCCCCATGCCCAGCTTAATGCTCTGCTGTCTCCATCTTGAAATCCCTAATAATTTTGGGGCAAAGCCTTCTCCTTTTCATTTAGCCTCGCTTGCGTCACCTGGGCTGGGCTGGGCGTAGGGGCCCAATAAAAGTTCACCGGACACCACTGACATGCACAGTTTAGGAATGACTTTCGGCTCTTTCTCCCCCGGCAGTGGCTGGGTGCTTGATGGGTTCTCCATGCTCTGGGCTCCAAGGGTGCGAGGGGGATTACTTTGACATGTGGAGCTATTTTCAGTGGAAACTTTATTGGCTTGGGATTCTGACCTTGGAGTGGGTTGATTTAGGCTATTCACTGCCATGGAACTGACCATATATTTCCTGTATATTAGGTGATTTCAAGGAAAAAATCAATTTTAATAGCAACAATCAAAACTGTAGAAACCTGCAACTGGTAGTATAACCTGCTTTACACCTGGGTTTATGGGACAAGAGGGCAAAGAGCCAGGGGTCCCCAGCTCTCTGCTGTCCCCCCACCCCCAGCACCTGGAGTCGGGAGTGGGAGGAGGAGGAGGAGCAGAAGGGGAGGTGGTGGCAGGGGGAGGTGGCCAGAGCAGAAGGGAGTCGGCCCTGACGACAGCTCTTCCGATCCACACGTTCTGTGTAACAGCTGATTAGTCTTCAGGCCGAAATGTATTCTTGATTTTAAATTCATATGTAATGATAATCATTACTTGTTTAATAGTTAATGCATGCTCATGGTTGAAAATCCAAAAGTCACAAAAGGATCTAGAGTGAAATTTCTCCTTCCAGGAGGTGACCAGTGTTAGTTTCTTGTGCATTCTTCCAGATAGTTTATTTATATTCAATAAAAAATGCCCATATTATATATTTGTATATTTCTATTCATGTTTTTCCTCCATTCTAATGCAAATGGTTACATACAATGCTGGCCATTCTGTACATTGCTTTTTTACTCAACAGTATGTGTTAGAGACAGTTCTTGAATAATTTGCACAGAGTTTCTTTGCCCTTTTATACAGTTGTAGTCTCTAATTGAGCCAGTCCCTGTTGCCGGCTATATAGGTTGTTTCCACTCTGGATCAGCATAAGTCTTCAACAAATTCTCTTCTCACTCACCCTGCTATTTTTTTTTTAATTTTAATTTTTTTTAGAGACAGGGTCTCCCTATGTTGCCCAAGCTGTTCTCAAACTCTTGGCCTCAAGCCATCCTCCTGCCTCAGCCTCCCAATGTGCTGAGATTGCAGGTGTGAGCCACCACACCTGGCCTCCTGCCCCACTAGTGGCAGAGCTTGTTTGAAGGGGCAGATGGTCTCATTCCCCTGCAACTTCTGCTCAGTCATTCCTCGTGGGCCATCTGCTCCAGCTCCAGCTGATTTCCTGATACATTTCCTGACACTGGCTCTTCCCTTCCGCCTCCTTCTCCCGTACGCTTCCTTCCCCTCTCCCCAAAACCTCCAGGAGTCAACCTTGACTCCTCATCTCCCTAACCCCCACATCCGGTGCATCTACTTCGCCAACACATCTCCGTGCACCTGTCCCCTCCCCCACCGCCACCTCCTGAGTCCAGGGCCCACCAGGCTGGGTTTGGGCCATCACAGTCACCTCCTCTCCTGGGATGGAAACCAGGGTGGGGGTGGGGTAAGAGACTGAGGCAGAGGTGGCCCGTTGTCTCATGGGCTCTGGCTTGGACGGGGTACGCATCCATTTTGCTCACACCCCATTGGCAAGAACCTGATCGAACTGCAAAGGCGTCTGCAGTGTGGTCTAGCTGGCCAGCCAGGCGCCTGCCTACCACTCCACCACTCTGCAGAAAGGCAGGCATGGAATTTGGAGGACAGATGGCAGGAGGAACCTGCTGTGCAGCCCCCAGCTCACCACCATGCAGGTGGCAGAGCAGGTGGCCATGCTGGGCTGGTGGGTGACTCGGGTGGCCCGTGCTCCTCACCCAGGGAGCGAGCCATGAGCTGTTCTCTGCCCCCAGCTACGAGGGAGAGGATCCTGGGGTTCCCCTGGCCTCAGTGTGCCCCTTTCTTCGAACCAGGCTCTCAGTGGCAGGGCCTCTCCCCAGCCTCTCTCCTGTCTTTCGTTCCCGGCCAGTGACACTCTGACTCAGACCCGGACTCTGGCCCTGCTGCTCAAGAAAGAGCCTTGGTCAGCTAATTCACATCAGGGACCACAGTCTAGTAGCTCACAGGGACTGTGTGACCGGAGAAACTCTTAAATACTTGAGGAGCACCTCTTGAGATACAGAAACAAGCCATTAATTACAAATCATTATGGTCCAGTGATACTAGAGTCCCCCACAGGCTACCTGCCAATACCGCAGTCGCCCAATAGGGGTCACTGTATGTACCTGAAAGTAATAAAACGGCATTTTAAAGCTCTGCAATCTAAATCCCACTTTTATTGGACTTTTATTACAAATAGTATAAAACCTCATTAATATGAAAATTAACGATAGCTAATATTTATTGAGCACTTACTGTGTCAAGCACTATAGAGAACCTCATAAGCCATCTCTCACTTCATTCTTACAACTCCAGGAGAGGAATACGAGGGGTTTCAGCTCCAAATGAGGAAACTGAGGCTTAGTGAGGTTAGGTGACTTGAGCAAGGCCACGCTGTTCATACAGAGCAAAGCCAGGGTGTGATTCCATGTCTGCCTGACTCCAAAAAGCCGCCAGCCTAAGCGGCATCGCAATAACCTTCGCGGAATCCGCCGGGGCACTCTCGCTAGGCTTGCCGCGCCTCGCCGCACCTGGTTTCGTCCAGGGCAGGGAGGCGCTTGAAATCAAGTACACACTACTACGGAGTCATTCTTGTTGGCCCCCGGCTCTGTCCGCTTCCCCCCACCCCACTGAGAGCTCCCCCAGCTGCAAATAAAAAGGAGGAAGGGAGGGCTTGGGGACAAATAAATCTGGAAAATTCTCTATTCTCTATGCCTTCTCGAAATTCACAACACATACCTGTGAGTAAAGTCCCTGAAAGAAACTTGTTAAACTTTTATCCAACCCAATTTCCCCCACACTTGTTTGAGCACAGAAGAAATGGGAGCACACACTACCACCCTGCAGAGCAGCCGCTTTGAAAACGCTCCTGCCCCCAGAGGGGGGGCCCTGCCCTTTGCCTCCCCGCCCCCAAGCCAGAAGACCCTCCCTATCGAAACGTTTCAAGGCCCAATGGAAAAGCCACATTCCTCATGAAACCGTCCTGATTTCACCCCAACTAGAGTGATCTCAACCCTCAGTGTTAGATTGGGTCTCTCCCTGACCTTGAACTGTAGAGCCGGCCAGGATGTGGGGTCACGCAGGGTCCTTTCTTATCTTTTCTCTGAACATTGGGTTTCTTAAGCAAGGAATTAAATCTTGTCCCCTTTTCACACTTCATACAGGGCCCGGCTCACTACAGGTGCCCTGGGACAGTCATGGAACAAGAACTGGAAAAGGAGATGCAACCTGGGAAGGACTGAGACTCTACCTTCCTCTGCTGAGCCCAGCTCTGGTTCCCATGGTAACCACCATGGCGGGTCAGCCCAGCTCCCAAGCCCCAGCATGGCCTGGCCTGACTCGCTGCACATGACAGACAGGCTGACGGGCTTCCCTGGCAGCTCAGGAGCAGACGACGGGGGCTCTGTGTGTCCAATCTGAGTGTCCCACTGATGGAGAAATACATCATCTGTCCCCTGCAGATGAGCAGCCCGGCACAGACCCGGGATAAGGCTCCATGTCTTGCAACAGGGTGAGCTGGGAAGTTGCTGAGCATTTGTCAGGAACCAGAAAGAATGTGTTATGGGGGCCACAACCACAAGCCAGACCCGGGTTCCCAACCCCTGGGCTCGTGGGCGGGGCGGAGGGCGGTGGGGATGAGAGCCGCGGGCAGAGGCAGATTCACGGGGAACTGGGAGAGCCCACCCAGGTGGAAGGGCACCCTGCCCGGCGCCAGCTGGAGAAGCCCCGTGGGAGCTGGCACCCAGCAGAGCCAGACCTGATTTGTATGTGACTCTCTAGATTTTGAAAAATTGGTTCCAAAAGATTTTAACACTGTGAAAGGCAAATAAAGCCAGGCTGCTGCTCTGCCCTGTCCAGTGGCTGCTGACTTATCTCTGCATTGGGCTAGCTGCCACCCAAGTCGAGTGCACAGGGTGAGGTGCTGTGTGACACGTAGCTCGCCGGTGGCAGCCATTCTGAAGTCACGTTGGGTGGATGAACAGGTGAAAGCCATGCAGCAATCAGGGGTTAAACAAACCGTGCTGGGTGTCAGAGTTTCACTCCTACAATCACGTCAGGGTTGGGTGCTCACGTCAAGGTGGGTGTTAGTGAGCACATCCGCCACGTGTGGCTTCCTCCTGAGGGGCTCACAGTTGAACCATGCGGGAGGTGCTGTTGTGTATTGCATGCATGTGTCGAGTCACGCGTGGGGTCTCGGTTTACATGCTTTTGTAAGAGGCACATCCTGCAACCTGCCAGGCGTCCAGCCCCTCCTCCTGCTACCCTGCTCCCCTCTCACAGAGATGGCCCCCTCTACTCTCAGGGCCCGTCCAGCTGACACCCCAGAAGCCCTCACCTTCCTTCTTCAGCCCCACAAGGTCAGGGGCCCGAAGCACATCCTAGCACAGTGCATAAAGAGGCCCCTCAGTTGGGGGCTACAGCACAGACCCCGCCCCTGCTCAGCCGGGCACCCCACGGCCACAGCCACGCTTGACCTGAGTCACGCTCCCTGGGGAAGGGGCCTGATGCAGTCCCCTGCAAGAGCCAGAGAGGAGAGGCCGAGACATGCTGCTGCTGTTGCAAGTGACACCGCTGAGGGCTGCGTGCGGGCCAGCTCTGTCCTCCATCTAGGGGTGCAGGGTGGCAATGGGGGAGACAGAGCACAGAGAGACGGGGGGCCATGGAAAACATTCGAGGAGGGGCTTTCGTGAAGGCCCTGGCTTACTAGCTGAGCAAATCACTTACTAACTGAGCAAATCACTCGAGCTCTCTTTGCCTCAATTTACTTCTCTGTAAAATAGGGATGGGGTTGCTAAAATGGTGAGAAGAGAGCTCATCTGTGACCACACCCAGTGCTGGCACATAGTAGGTGCAAGAAGTGTGCACACGTTCTCTTCTGTCCTCCCTGGCCGCCTGCAGGCCCGTGCGCTAGGGAGGAGCGGCAGGAGGACGTGTCTAAGATGGTGTTCTCTCTCTCGGTCTCTCCCTCCTGTCTCTCCCTGCCTCTCTCTGTCTCTTTCTCTTTCCCTGCTCCCCTCCCCTTTCCTCAGGACAACAGAGCATGTCCATCTCTCAATGGACATGTCACAGGGAGCTACCATCCCAAACTGCCTCTAAAAGGCGCGCTCTGGAGGGCAGGTCCCTCCACCAGGCTCAGGGACCCTCCTTCCCTCCCTGTCCCCACCTTTGGGCCCAGACCAAGGCTGCACCCTCACTGATCGCCTTTACTGTAACCGTGGGAGCCCAGTTTCCCCGCACTGTAGGAACAAATGCGACTGGAGAAAGCACAGGCCAGGGAGCTGGCCCTGCTCCCCCGCCCCAGCTGGGTGCATTGGCCACATTCCTGGCCTGTGTGACCTCACGCTCTCTAAGACAAGAATAACCCCCTAGCAGGGCTGTTGGGAGGACTCAGTGAAGTGACATTCCGAAGCCCTAGTTCAGGAGCTCCTTGTCCTTGTCCCTTATGTGCTCCTCAACCCCCCCCTCAAATGCTCCATTCCACTTCCTGCAAAGCACAGAGGAACCAGCGCCCGGGGCTCAGGTAGCACCCCTAACTCCACCACCGGGGCTGGTGGCCCTTAACAGATCTGCCTCCTCCCGCAGGTTGGCACTTTGTCCCGGAGTGCCCTGATCCCCTGGTCAGGGCATGCATCAGATTTCCCACCCCTGCCCTCCTCAGCCCTCTCATCCGCGACACCAGGGTAATGACACGGCCTGCACAGATTCTCTCACCCACGCCCACCCAGCCTCCTGCCCTTGCTCTCCACAGGGAGCTGCTGCATCACAGAGAAAGCACCAGATGTTGAAGCTGTGTTCCCTGCTCCCCCACGGGAGCTCCCCCACCCCGTTCAGCCCACGGGGGTGTTTGATCTCTGGCTTAACCAGTGCAGCCATTTTTCTGAAGAAGGTAGAAGAGATTCAGACAGAGGGAGAGGGATGAACAAAAGAATGCACCAGAAACTAGGGGAGGGAGCGAGGGACAGAGACAGACAGGCTAGAATAGGGGACACCTCTTAGAAGCCTCCTCCAGCCTGTCTCCCAGCCCGGGTGACCGGCAACCTTATAGATAGCCACTGTATCGGCTCTGAGTGATCGTGCCCTCCCTGGGGAGGTGACAGCCGCCCACTCAGCGTGACAGGGCATCAGCTTAAGATTCAGGGGCCTCTGACACAGAGGAGGCTTCTCTCGAAAGCCGGGATGAGCAGCCCTGTGGTCAGAGGGCTGGCAGGCAGGGGACAAATGGGCTGCCGGAGGGGACAGGGACCCCCTGCTTTGCTCACTCTGGGGGCTGAGCAGCCTTCCTGGGGCTCCCAGGGAGCTGGCCATGAAGCCCTCCCTCCACTCGGCATTAACTCGGCATTTATTTCTCACTGCCTCTCCCTCCCCTGGCTCCTCTCCCCTCCTTTGTCTCCCCATCTTCGATTTCCTATTTGAGAACAGTTCCAGCCTGTGCCACCGCCGAAATCCTGGCCTCTGTAACCAGCGAAGTGACTCAGACACCAGCATTGGTTTTTATTAAAGGCAAAAAGAAAATAAGCTGATTTTTTAAAAAGCAAAACACCTTCTTCTAAGCCAAATGTTCCATGGGACATCTGACTGCTGGAGACATTATCTTAAAACATGCAAATACGTGCGATAGCCCCCGACCCCTTCCCAGCCTCTGGTGGGAGTGTCGGACCTGCATGGGTTGTATTTTCCCCCCGGTTAAATGTTTCTAGGTCACTTGCATCCTCCTCCACTAAGAGCCCCACGCAGGAAACCAGGAAACGCCATGGATTCCATTCTAGTCCCTGGGCCTCCATAATTAATGGGATCACTGGAAACCAACCAGAAGGATGCTGGGGGCGAGAGGCCTTATCTCTTGGAGTTTCATCTTTCTGTCTCCAGACAGAGAAGCTTCTAGCAGGATGAGGAGCTCAGTTCCCTGGGGCGGCTTCTGCTGACACCGATCCAGCCCCCTCTTAGCCCACCTGGGGCGGCAGTCCCGGGCGTCTTTCTCTCCCCACCCCGCCACCCTCTGGAGCTGTCTCTTCCTATAATCCTCTTCTCATCGAGTCTATTAGCGTGCTCCGGCAGGCTCTGCCAAGTTCAGCTGCATCTCCCTGTCTCGTTTATATTAGAAGAGAAAGCTCTGGCGTGTTTTCCCCTCACCTGAGGAAAGAGAGGCTTCTCTTTTTCAAGACACTCATAGCTTCTGATGGAGCCCAAGAAAGATTTAAATTATAATGAAATGCAGTAGTCTCCAGATGAGATTGCCCAAGAGTGCTTCCGGCTGCCTTGTGAAACCGACTCAGCTTTCCAGCAGAAAGGCAGCTGGGGGCAGGGGGCTGCCCTGAATGCCTTTGCTGGCCTGTGTGCAGCTTGTCACCTGCCTGTCCCCTCCTCTCTGCCTGGAGTACTGCAGTAGCCTCCGGACTGGACTCGCTGCCTCCGGTTCACCTGCTTTGATTTGATTCTTCCTGCTCTTGTCTTACCACTTCCCGCCTTGGGGGCCTCCAGTGGCTCCTAAACCCCCAGTTCAAACGCCCCCTCCTCTCCTTCACAACGGCCTCCCAACACCTGCCAGGTGGGATGGACCGCACCAGCCATCTGCCCTCCCTACGATGGTGTCTGTGGCCCAATGAGAAAACCGCGCCACCCCTCCTGCCCAGGATCATATTTGTATACTCAATAGAAGAGAAATAAAACAGCCCCTGTGAAGAAACCCCCACCCCCACCCCACGTTCCAGGTGCAGATAAAAAACTGCCTTGCAGTCACAGGGGCCTGGGCTCAAACCCACACTCTCCCCATTTATAGCTGAGGGCCCCAAGGGCAAGTTCACTCATGTCTTGGAGCTTGCTTTCCCATCTGTTAAATGGAGCTAATGACACCTACTTCATAGGACAGTTATTGAGGTGAAGAAGACAGAAAGTGCCGAGCACATAGTAAATGCTCAATAAATACTAGCTGCGCTTTGTTTTTTATTCTTCATAATGCAAAAGGAATCGTTAGTCTGGTTTTATGGAGCATGAAGTGCTTCTCAATCTTGGCTATGTTTTAAAAGCACCTGGGGAGCTTTATAAACTGTAAGTGCTGAGCCCCACTCCTAGACCTGTCCTGGGGTCAAAGTCTCCCTATCTGGACAGGACAGGAACCACTGCCCACGGTGTGCAAGAAACGAGGCCCTGGCTGACTTGGAAGAAGAGCCCAGGAGAGGACTGTGGCAGGAGTGGGCAGGGCAGGGTGCTTGGGCTTTGGAGTGAGTCCTTTCACAGGCCAGACCACTGGTCAGCAGGGCTGGCTTGGGAGTGCTCATGGTGCCATCTTGTCCTTTCCCTGGGCACACCGGGTACAGGGAGTGCCCACTGGGGCTGAGAAGGCAGGGAGGCTGCAGGGGAAGCCGGACCACCTTATTTGTCCAGAACCAGGATGGTGACCACAGCATCAGCCTTCCAGTGGGGGTGGGGACCCTCAGGAGGAGCAGGAGCTAATTGAGGTTGTCAGGAACAAAGACACACTTTCCACAGCTGAGAACAGAAAGGAAATACACCCTGGAGTTAATTAACTTCCTGCAATATGGCCAGTGCTGCGGGTCCTGCAGCTGCCTGGGGTCTCACCTGCCTTCCAGGAGAAGATTATGGTGGCCA